CTGAGGGCACGCAAGGTTTTCTAGACAAGGTCCATTGTATTCTCTGCACCATGGGCATTGTGGAGGCGAGCAGAGTTGCTTTTACTATGTTTCAGTTGTCTGGAGTAGCATATCAGTAATGGAAGGATTATGAGGAGGGTAGGCATATTGATGCAGCCCCAGTCACTTGGACTAAGTTTTCGGAGATGTTTGAGGGAGTTTTTTCCCCAGACCCTCTAGCATACGTGGCGCACATTGTTCGGGCAGCTGCGTCAAGGCACTATGAAAGTGTAAGAGTACGCCATCAGATTCAGTGAGTTGTACCATCATACACCTACCTTGGTTTCCTTAATTAGGGAACGAGTCCCCAGGTTCATCGAGGGGCTCAGTTATGGTATCCGATTTAGCATGGCTCGGGAGTTAGAGATGGATGTTTCATTTCAATAGGTTGTGGAGATCGCTTGCAGGTTGGAGGGTATGCGGGGCCAAGAGAGAGAGAGGACAAGGAGGCTAAGAGGCCTCGTAGGCCGGGAGGATCTATTGATCCCTATTTTGGAGGCAGGGCAAGTCATGGTAGAGGCTTTGTGGGTCAGCTAGTTCAGTTTGCACTTAAGGTTTCACGTGGTGTTTTAGATATCCATGGGTCCTTGAGTACCCGTACCGGACAACTTCCATAGCTGCGTCAGCGGAGAGGCTGCTTTGAGTGTTGGGATACTAGCCACATGGTGAGAGATTGTTCCAGACTCCGGACAGATGCGTCACAGTAGGGTATTCAGGCTATGAGTTCCGCTCCAGTTGCTGCAATACCTGCACCTAAAGCTAGCAGTGTAGGTCAGGCGGGTAAAGGTCGCTCTAAAGGGGGAGTCCATGCCTATTTTTATGCTTTTCCTACTTAAACTGAGGCTTATGCACCAGATGATGTCATTACATGTATGGTTTCAGTTGGCTATAGAGACGCATTAGTATTATTTCAATTTGGTCCCATTTTATTTTGTAAGATTCATCCTACCTTGCTTCGGATATGGTTATGTCTTGTAATTCTTTTACTCTGTTCATGTGTTCATGTCAGTTGGGGGATTCTGTTGTGATAGCCCGTGTTTATTATTTTGGTTTAGTTGCTATTGATGTCCATGAGGCTTGGGTGGACTGTCTATTAGTTAACACGGTAGATTTTGATGTGATTTTGGATGGTTTGGCCCGACTTATGATTTGGGTGCTCTACATGTATGGAAGTCCGTTATGTGTTGTGGTTTTGGTTCTACGAGATTGAGTTAGTAGAGTGGTTTAGTTGATGAGATGTTTATCTTACTCGTCATTCCGAGTGGGGGATGGGGACCTGGTGTTCTCTATGGATAGGTATGTTTGTACCGGGCTATGTGCCGCGGTGAGGTTATGTTAGGGTAAGATTTGTGTGGTCGTTGTGTGTGTCTTGCTTCTTCCTTGTGGAATGGATCCGTAGTATGGTATCGGTAGGGAGTTGTACATGTTGGACTTGTTTTATAGTTCTCTCATGTGTTCCTCTTTTCATATTTAGTCGTATTCGAGTTATGCTTGTTGGGTTTGGATTGCGATGTATGTGCCCGTGTGGAGTTTGATGTGGCTTGTTGATCGGGTGAGTAGTTATGAGTTCCACATGTTTCTTGCATCATTGTCAGTGTTGTGAAGATCTGGAACAAGGTTCTATTCGATATGAGGCTATTTGTTGGTACCGTTCTTAGTAATGGGCAGCTATTGTGGTTTGAGCTATTGCCATGGGCATATGGGTGATGTGTTATGTCATGTGGTTATATCTTGTGGATGTATGCATGAGTTGTTATAGCAATTTGAGGATTATACAATGTGTTTATGTGAGGATCGGGTCCTTGATGAGTGTGAAATTTGGTTCTAAGGCTTATAGGCATAAGTGTGAAGGCATAATCTTTGATTGTGATGATGTGGTCGGGCTTATGTGAAATAGGGTGACATAGGATCACCTGGGGGTATGTTTATGGAGAGTTCATGCTGTGATTTCATGGCTTGGAAAAGACTCTTGGCATGTTCGAGGATAAACATTTGTTTAAGAAGGGGAGAATATAACGACCCGACCGGTCGTTTTGAGCTTTAGTACTTTGTTCAGTGGTTTGAGGCCTTGAGCGGCTTTCTATTGTGTATTATGACTTGAGTGCTTGGTTGTATTTGATTTTCAGATGTTTCGCGATTTATTTGGATGAGTGATTCTCATTTTTGAAGCTTAAGCTGAAAATATTGACCGAGATTTAACTTTTGTAAAAACGACCATGAAACAGTGTTTTGATGAATTCGGTAGGTTTGTATCTTGATTTTAGACTTGGGCGTATTTCCGGAGTTGAACTTGGAGGTCCCTAGGTTGATTTGACTTGTTTCGCCGAAGGTTGGTAATTTGATGGTTTAGAAATTTCTTGGGTTTAACCATAGTTTGACTTTATGGCTATTGGGTTTGAATTTTTATTTTGGGACTTTGAATAGGTCCGTTTTATTATTTGGACCTTGTCTACAAAGTTTGGCGTCATTACAAGTTGATTTGATAGAAATCGGACACGCGGTTATGTTTTTACAAGTTCTTGAGTTTCATGTTATTTTTATGTGTTTTGGAGGTTTGATTCATGGTTTCAAATGTTATTTTAATGGTTTGATCACGCTAACGAGTTTGTATTATGTTTTTAGACTTGTGCCGATGTTCGGCGTGGAGCCCCAAGGGCTCGGGTGAGTTTCGTACGTGTTTCAGAGTGTTTGATAGAGTTGAAGTTCTACTGGTATGCACAAGTACTTCAGGTCTACCAGTATTTGCGAGATATGGATCGCATTTGCGATTCTTGCAAATGTAAGGAAGGGTTTGCATTTGCGAGATAGGCTGGGGTTTGCTAGGTTCGCATTTCCGAACATTTTGTTTGCTTTTACGATGGGAATCTGGGCTACGCAGCGATCACAATTGCGATCATTAGGTCACTTTTGTGATGTGTTCTTTGTTCAAATTTGCGAAAATTTTGTCGCATATGCGACGTCAGCAGTACTGTGACTGAACATAAAAGTTGCAATAATTCTTTACATTTGTGAACCCCATGTTGCATTTGCGACTGAACATAAAAGTTGAGAGTCGGGATTTTAGCCTCATTTTCATACTTGAACCCTAGACTCAGTAGGAGGCAATTTTGAAGAAGGATTTTAATCTACAATCATTGGGTAAATGATTTTGATCAATTTCAAACTATTTTACATGATTATATATGAGATTTAACATCAAATTTGTGACAATCAAAGTGCAACTTTGAGAAACTTTTTCTAAGTTTTGAAAAATGAGAATTTGAGTTTTGAGAGTTGATTTGGACTCGGATTTTGAAACAAAACACATATATAGACTCGTGGGTTTATGGGTTGTCGGAATCTACCTTTGGACCCAAGATTTTACCAGGCGAGCCCGGGGTTGACTTTTGTTGACGTTTGTGGAATTGTGTAAAGATCATAGCTTTATTAATTGGAATTAGTTTTTCTTGCATTGTTTGATATTATTAAGTAGTTTTTGGTTAGATTTGAGTCATGCAGAGGTGAATTGTAAAGGGAAAGCTATTTGTGAGTGTTGAACTACCCCGTAGGTATTGGCTTGTTTGCTCTATTTGAACTACGTGAATGACGTGTACTCGAGGTGACGAGTGTGTACACAACCTTATATGTGGGAACTTGACCGGTTTAGATTCTTAGGTTTCTTATGAACACTAAATTGAAGTTGCTCTATCATGTTATGTCCTCCATTGTTAAATTCACTCTTATATACCTTATTTGAAGTTGTTAGTTCATGCTCTGTCTTTTATTGTAAAATATACTCATACATGCTTTAATTAGAGTTTTTGCCTCTTTATTTATAAGTTTTGTCTTCCATAGTCGATTATCCTTATTTGAAGTCATTGTTACATATTATTCCTTCTATAGTTGATTATTCTCATTTGAAGTCGTTGCTACATGATATCTCTCCCAGTTGACTATTAGTATTAGAAGTTGATGTTACATATTATCGCACTTATTGTTAAACTACTTTTTCTTGAAGTCATTATTATTTGTTATGCCTTTCATTGTTGAGATCATTCTTCCGTTTTCTTTTATTGTTGTAATTCTTGTGTTGATTTACTTTTCGTACCATCATGTTATTGTTGTTCTTGTTGTACTTGGTGTTGTTGAGCCGTAGGCTACAAGTGGTTGTGGTAATTAGAATTGTTATTATGAAAACATTGTGGTATATGAGCACATGTGGTGCGAGTTGTTATATTGTGTTGTTATGTTTTTGGAACATGAATAATTATTGAGAGGATTGTCATGGTATTTTCACGTGAATTATCCGTGTTATTATTATTATTTATATTTGCACATGCGACGTGACAAGGTGGGCTATATTTTTTGGGTGTGCGCATGTGTCGAGACAAGGTAAGATGATTCACTACTAAAAAATTGGTCTACGATAACACTTGAAAAACCGTTCCCACAGACTGTCAAACCGTTGCCATAGGGATATTGAAACGGTTTATAGCCCGTTACATCAGCCCGCGTGCCCATAGGTCTATTGGAACAGTTCTTGCAACGCTTTGCATCACCGTGACTATAGATATGTCTATCGCAACGGTTTTCCCTTTCCCTGTTGGAACGATTATTTTTTCAATTGGAACGGTTTAAAACCGTTACTATATTGTTTATACAACGGTTCTTAACTGTTACCATATTATTTAAAGCAACACTTATGTAAGCTATTGTTACAGTTATGTATGGATATAACAACGGTTTCTTTAAACTATCGTGACGGTTATATTTGTATTTGGAACAGTTTATAGATCATTTTGGAACATTTTATAGGACCTATTGCAACGGTTTACATGGTCTACTAGAACGTCATTTGTGTCCTATTGCAACGGTTCTGGTAGGCTATTGTATCAGTTCAGTTAAAATCAAAATATAGCACCGGTTACAAATAAATATTTATATATATAATTATAATAACACTAACATTTAAATACATCATAAAATGAAACTATTAATAATATAAAATTATTCATTAAGCAAATAATATCCATAAAGCAAATGTTCTACCCCAAGTGCATAAGTTTAGTACATTTCAAGAGAGTAAGTTTAAAAAATATTGATAACAAAAGATTCCTAGAACATTCATCTATAACAATTCAAAATTCATCTCAAGTAAGGTCTAGTTCTTTTTCATCATCCATTTCTTGATCTACTCCACCTACAAAAGAGGATAAATAAAGATATTACCCTTCAAGAGAATCCGGTCTAAGAATACTCATAGCACAAATTGCCATGAAAAAAGAAAAGAACATGAAAACTCCAGAACCAACAACAGCAATTGTAAAACAAAAAGAAACTACAACAAGAAGTCTTCCAAGTTGGCCATGTTTGACCATAACAAATGGTGAAGAAACAACTTTTTGATCCGAATGGGACCAATATGGGCATCTGGAATTATTCTAATCACAACATACGCTCAACAACACACATTCTCAGTTCAACAGGCAAAAACAATGGACAGACACTTAATAAATTCCTTCGAAATCCCAGCTGCATCGATGACAGTCTTCACATTAACGGCAATGTTATGCACCATTTGCTTCTATGACTGTGTATTTGTGCCTATAGCACGTAAATTCACTAGTCTAGAACGAGGCATATCGTTCCTTAGCAGAATGGCTATCTGGTTCTCTATTTCAGTTCTAGCCACATTAGTAGCCGGATTTTTAGAAGTTAAACGAAAGAAGCAGCCTTAATTCATGGACTAATCGATAAAGGTAAGGCGATTGTTCCCATTTCAGTATTTTAGCTTGTGCCTCAGTATTGCATACATGGTGTGGCTGAGGCATTTGTGTCAATTGGACATCTTGAATTTTTCTATGATCAAGCACCAGAGAGTATGAGAAGTACAACTACTGCATTATTCTAGACATCAATTTCAGCTGGGAATTTTTTGAGTACACTTTTGGTTTCATTAGTGCATAAATTTACTTCAGGATCTGAAGGATCAAATTGGTTACCTGATAATAATTTGAGCAAGGAAAAATTAGAGTATTTTTATTGGTTAATCATAATTCTACAAGTGATTAACTTGATTTAATATCTGTTTTGTGCAAAATTCTATACTTTCAAGCCTATTCAGATACAGAAGACAGAAGATTTAGACTCTAAAAAAGATAGTATTGAACTTGTAAACAATGTTTAGTTTGTATTAGCATCTTGATATAGAAGGTTTTGTAATTTTGGCCTATGTTTATGTCCTATTATATTGTAATAATTTTAGGATAGTAGGAAAGAAAATAATGGTATGCATAGTTATAGTAGGTAAAGGAGAAAGTTTTTAAGAAATATTTTTAATTGTATTGCTCCATATTAAGTATAAAAGACGAGCTTAAACAACTTTAGAATAATTCAAAGAGTCTTGACAAGTTTTGTGAAGATGTAGAAGCTATAAAAGACGAGCTTAAATAACTTGTAAAGCTTCACTCTCAACTCCACAACTCACACAAACAGAGCAAGACTCTGTACAATGCAAAAACTGTCAAAGATGTTAGAACAAAGATGGATAATGATGTTTCAATAGCTTCGAAAAAAGCCAAATTTATTAAAGTCTGTTTAGAAGCTTTATACAGATCTAATGCTGCTAATAGAAGTATAGCTGGTTGTGGCCCTGGTAGTTCTTCTGATAGAACAAGAACTTCTATTGTGAATGGTTTGAGGAATAAACTTCAAGAATCAATGAATCAGTTCAATGAACTCCAGTAAGAGCCAGCCACCAAAAAAGGAAATAAGAATAAATTCAAATCCAATCCAAATTCAAATCGTGTTTCGTTGAAGAGTTCCTGACAGCGGATTTGTCTCCACAAAGTAATCATTTCCCATAAGGAAACTCAAACTCAACCTACTTTACACCCTTAAAGTGCACTGGCCGTAAAAGCAGGAACCCCAAACAAGACAACCAAGTTTGACACATAAGTCCCAAGTCCCAACCACAACTACAACCTCAACCATTGACCCTCAGTCTGTCACAGAGAACCATTGACTCTCAGTCTGTCACAGAGAAGTTGGATACCAATAATACCGAAATAGGCACATCTATAGGAAGAAAAAATGATATGACCATATCCACTCTGCCTTGAACCAACGCAAAATCCCAAGCAAGGAAGGAGGAGAAGAAGAAATAGAAGAATATGTATAACATTTGATACGTACTGACCTTGATTGTTACTACCAACAGATGGTTGACTGTTTAGTTAAACAGAAGCTTGTTGTGCAGAGGAAACTTCTACAGGTGAACGTGCACTAAACCTTAACATGTCAGGATCAAGTCACAAATCTAGGTTCAGATGCTGAAGTCGTACGATGACGTTCATTGTAATATTTTGTTCCATAGCGTTCTTTTGTTAATTCAACTTTTCATGCATTCTTTGTTGTATCCTCTCATCCATTTTCTGCTGCATCCTCTCATTAGTAGTATCTAAAGAAGATCCAAGATTCCCTATTTGCCCTTTTAATACAGTCTTGGTAACCACTCGTCCATACAATCTCACGCGACCTGGATGTTCAGGTCCCATGACCGATGAAAAAGCGTCAACTGAATGACTACCATCTTCACTTTCCTGAGTTGATTGTATTCTCTCCATTTTTAGCCTACAAACCAAATGCGAGAGAAAAGAGATTAAGTAACTAAAATTGAATCAATAATTAAGAACAAATAAATAATCACGACAAACTTTAAATTAGAAATTTCATACAATTTTACTAATCGTATTGTCATATGAGCTTTTGTATACTCGGCCAAGTTTTTTTTTTCTTGTAGCCACAAAGATGTCCTTACTTGACAGAGTATCTGAAGTATCAGAGATTTCCTTCTTTTTTTCTTAGTTACATGAAAACAGGTATAAGAATCTTTCCATATAAAGTTAGCAAGTTCATAATTTTTTTTTTAAAAAAAGAAGAGAAAACATCAAACCTCGCGATTTAGAGCAAAGCTTGTTCTGCCAGTAGTGTGCAGATACTTCAACTTATTTCGATTCTCTGTATTGGTTTCGGACATTTTCTGCAAATAGTCAACTTATAAATTTAACGCCACAGAGAAAGAAAGGGCGACTTATAGATGGAGTAAACTTCATATAGTGATCTTCTACATTATTGATAGAGAGACTACCTAGTTAAGGGATACGTTGGGTGCCAAGCTACATTCCTTCACATAAAGTAAAATAAGAAACAAAAATGGTAGAATACAGTTGGAATCGTAATAAAAATGTATCTTATCGGTGCCGCCGATGGTGGGGTTTGTATTCCTCGTAATCTCCGGCGAACTGATGAACGCTTTTTGGGAGAGAGAGATCGGAACTTTTGAAGATAGCGTTTGTGTGCTTAGCTTCCTCGTAATCTGCGGTGTGTGTTATATGTATATTATTAGGTTTTATTATTTTATTAAATATAAAATATAATAGAAGCGAGTCTCTTTTCGCGGGTTGTCCAAAATTTGGGGGAAATTATAGAGGGAATTCATAACCGTTGCCTTACATTAAAATTGCAAATAACCGTTACCATAGATAAACTTATTGCTACGGTTGTCCAAAAACGTTGCCATAGAAAATCTACTGTAACGGTTTTTAGACTAATGCAACGGTTTAGGTGCTAAACTGTGCCGATAGAACCAATTACCTTACGCAACGGTTGAAACCGTTGCAATAGACCATCTATAGCAACGGTTACAGAACCGTGGAAATAAAAAGCATTGCCATAGCTCCAATTTCTAGTAGTGATTATTATGCACGTGTGGCGAGACAAGACGGGCATTTAATTTATTATTGCGCATGCGGCGATACACAGGGGTTATGTCGTGGATTATTTATGATGGCCTGGGGGCAATATTTTGGATGATAATTGTGTGGTGGTGTGACCTTCTTGTGTGTGTCATTCATAGTACAAGTTTTGTTGTGTTGTTTCCATTGTGGTACTCGCTATCTCTGATCTTACTTGTTGACTTAAGCTGTGATAGTATACTTGCACCAACATACACTGTAGCATGTCACCTATATCAGTCTGGGAGTATGAATCTTTTTGTTTATTGATATTGTACATGTATCCTTGTATACCTACCCTCTGTGCGTGAATTGGACTGTTGGCACGTGAGTTGTCCATGTGGATATGAGGAGTTGTTACTATTGGCACATGGGTTTTCTGTGCAGATCTAAGGCATTAATGGTATTGGCACATGAGTTGTCCATGCAACACGTGAGTTATCCATGCGGTTGTGATTGGTAATGTAGGCACGAGATGCCAAGCGATTATGATTCGTGATTTAGGACCCGTGATTGTGATTGTGAGATGTGGTACCTCGATGTTACACCCTACATTTTCGTCTATGAAAGCACGCCATAAATAAATTGATCAGAGTTCGGAAATGAGATGTTGCATCCCATTTTTTTTTGTACGCTAATATTTCGTCGTAAGTTAATCGACTTAAGCTCGAGAATGAGAATATTTTGGGATTATAAGTATTATGCTATTCCAAACAACTGATGAGAATATTCATGAAGGAGAAAGGGTAAGCAAATCGAAGAAAATAAAATTCCTCGAAGTTTGAAAATTTGGGATAAAATACGGTTCGAGCTATAATACCCGATATTTATGGATTAGTGCCATACAAGATACCATATGGCCATGATAGTATGATGTATAAAGTGTATTAAATAGGAAGAGTATTTTAGGTAATTCTTAATTATGCAAGTAATTGATTAATTACCGGGTAACATAATATTACCTAATTAATTAATTAATTATGGGATAAGATTAAAATTATCCCACCCCCACGTGGCAGCAAGCCACTTCATAAAGAGATGACTCTTAGTCATTCTTGATAGGTGGCAAAATGATGTGTTACCAAAACACTTCAACAACGTGAAGTGTTACCAAAACACTTCAGTTCCAAAGATCTTTCAAAACAAAACCATAACTACAATCAGATCCTAAACCTCATTCCTAATAATTTCAATACCAAGACCTTACCACCATAAGTAAACGTTAGCAATTCTCCTTGCAACAAATTCCAGTGAGAATGTTTAGAATCTTAGCAACGGAGAAATTTTGTGCTTCTAAAGAAGTACGGTGCAACCTTTTCCACGAATATCATACGAATATTTACCTACTCTAGGTATGTTGAGGCTATCCCTTCTTTCTTTTTGGCATGATCTATACAACGCAAGCGAAACGAGCAAATACACAACTTTCATAAATGACTCTATTTATAAAAATACTGGAGGTGTCTATATTCTTGATTCCCCATGTGAATTAGTAATTAGTCACAGCACAAGGAGCAAAGAGAGATAAAATATAAGTATAATCCATAATTGAGCAATCTATCACTGAAATGGAAAGAGTCCAGTAAGCTAGACTGTATGCAAGTGTACATGATTGTAAAAGCCTTTAAAGCTATAGAGAAAAGGTTGATTGTACCATCATGTATCTTCTTGCTTCCCTTATATTCTGTTATTGATTCTCTTATCATTGAAATATTTGAGCAGCAAGGCTTAACAGCACTAACACAATGGTTTTCCCATATGAAAAAAATATTGTTATCTCTTAATTATTATTATATCTTTTGTTCATGGGTCTCAGAAAAATACGTATTTGATAAAGTTTATCCGACCGACATATTATTTTTATGACATTCCGAGAAATCTTATTAATGTATATCTTATGCATTTCATGTATTTATATATGTACATTGACCCATGACCAGATGGCGTTATATACGCGTATATATATATATATATNTGCCTGATGATGTTATAAAACATGTACCTGTGCATGACATAACATTCATACGCATATGCATGACACTATAATTATTTCATGATTTACAGAGTTATCCAGACTTACAGGTCGAGTCATTTACTCTATAATTCTTCCATGTCGGTTATGTACTTATTTATGTGCCTTACATACTCGGTACATTATTCGTACTGACGTCTCTTTTGCCTGGGGACGTTGCGTTTCATGCCCACAGGTTCTGATAGACAGGTCAAAAGTCCTCCAAGTAGGCTATCAGCTCAGCAGAAGGTGTTGGTGCGCTCTATTTGCTCCGGAGTTGCTTGTGTGGTCAGTATGATTAGGACATGTATTGATTAGTATGGAGGGGCCTTGTCCCGACCTTTATGACATTTATGTACTCTTAGAGGCTTGTAGACATATGTCATATACGTGAAAGATTGTACGACCTTGTCGGCCTATGTTTTGAGTTTATAAATGATCATGTTGGCCTATTAGGCCCGTATGTCACGTGTATATGATGGTGTAATAAGAAAGATACGTTACGTTGGTACTCGATTGAGTAAGGTACCGGGTGTCGGTCTCGCCCCCAGGTTAGGGGCCTGACACTCGGGGTGATTCTTGGTTAAATCTTGTGTAAGAACGGTTGATTATTTGGTTATTGCTTGTTTTTCCTTACTTGATTTCACCAGGACTTACACGGCATTCTGATTACTTTACGGCATTATTACTTGTCTACTCCTTGTTGTTAATTTTTGTTTCTATTTTCCATTTGCTAGTGTTGTATTGTTATTCTTTCCATATGTAGCTTTATACTGATATTGTTCCCTGTTAGCTATATAATCATATCTGTACAGGTTATTATGTCTAGTAGGTGTCTTGATTGTACCTCGTCACTACTCCACCGAGGTTAGTCTCGATACTTACTGGGTATCATTGTGGTGTACTCATACTATGCTTGCTACATATTTTTATGCAGATCCAGGTACTACAGAGTGTGCTGGTCATTAGATAGCTGATCGTGTATTATTGTAGAGATTTCAAGGTATATCTGTTGTCGCGTTCGTAGGCCTCGGAGTTACCTTATGAAGTTTTACATTGTACTATTTATTTTTATTCCAAATAGTGATGTATTTGATAATCTTCGTAACTCTTAGAAAAGCTTATGACTTTTACTACCGGTTTTGGAATATTGTACATCTAATGATGGTTGTTGGCTTTATAGAAATTACTGGTTCACGTTAATGGTTGATTGGTTTAAATCTATTAATAACTCTCTATGTGCTAGGCTTACCTAATCCTAGAGACTAGGTGCCATTACGACTCCTAAAGAGGGATTTTGGGTCGTGAAAGTAGATTAGTTTTGTGGCTCGCATAACTATTCGGCGGTTCGCAAAATGAGTAGAAAATTGATCTAGTCAACAACTTCAACCATAACTCCATAGTGCTTCGCTGATCAGCTCTGCGGTACGCATACCGATTCTATGGTCCGTAGATCGAACCGCAGATTTAACCTATTAGTTGTCAAATTCTGCAATCTTGCTCCGAACGCGCCGAAACTCACTTGAACCCCTCGAAATCCATCCAATTATTCTTGCAAGTCCAAATGCCCAATTTGTTTTATGCAAAATCTCAAAACGCCCACAAAAATATCACAATAAAGAATCATAGCTCAAACCGATTAGAATTTCTCTTAAGCTCGTAAATCTTCATTCTTTCAAAAGAGTGTCTGAATCACACTTAAGCACTTTGGATTTCTTCCAAAGTTTGCACATAAGTTCAATTAAACTATATAGACCTATCCAAAGTCTCGGAATACCAATCGGAGTCCAATACTATTAAAGTCAACTCTTGATCAAACTTATGAACTTTTAAGTTCTTCAAATTGTCAACTTTTGACAAGTGGTGTCAAATCCTTCTAGAAATATAAAACGTTCAATCCGAACATACGTACAACTCCAAAATAATCATACAAACTTGTTGGAACCTTCAAATCCCGTTTCCGAGATTGTTTACTCAAAAGTCAAACCTTGATATGCTCTTCCAACTTCAAGCCTCAAATTATGTACTATGTGTTTCAAATCACTCCCAAATCCTTTGTAAACCAAAACACCCATCCACGAAAGTCATATGACATTAAATAAATCTACGGGAAACATCAAACATGGGAACAAGGTTTTAGAACTAAAAATGACCGGTCGGATCATTAGACTCGTCTAACATGGTCCAATAAAATCGTGTTAATCTCTAAAAGAATATCCGCTAAGGGCAAAGTGGGAATGTGAGACACTACTAGTTCAGGGAGACAACTTAATCTATTATAAGTCTTTTAGTTTTTTATTTTATTTCGATCAGCGTCTCATATGTACTTTTAGTTTTTTATTTTATTTTGATCAGCGTCTCGTATGTTCTCAGATACTAGTGCTCCATGACTTGGTCTTTAGTTGGGTTGTACATGATATTTATGACAGTTTTACCTCGTTTTCACGCCGTACTTATACTAGACATCTTTAGTATTACTTCTTTCTTACCTACTATATTATTAGCATGTTATACTCCTTTCAAATGACACACTTTTCTTATAAGTTCGCTCCAAAATAAATAATATATTT